ACATAAATTAATAAATATACTGTTTAATAAATAGATAAAAACAGAACACAGCATTTACTCAAAATAATATATACCATCAGGTTTAAGCATACATTGTGGGGAATAGATATATAGTATACAGTATATCCGTACGTTGTTGTATGGGTGTTCTTTTAACAAAAACAAAACTAATGATCATAATGTTCTTGAATGATTTATCTCTCTATCTTTCTCTTTCCTCGCTCTTTTTCTTTTTTCTTTCTCAGTTTGTATCTATCTATCTATCTATCTATCTATCTATCTATCTATCTATGCCTGTTTTCTTTCTTTCTTTCTTTCTTTCTTTCTTTCTTTCTCAGGCTGCTTCTCTGTGTCTATGACTGTTTCTTTATTTTTTTATTTCTTCTATCTTTCTTTTTCCTCAGACTGCTTCTCTCTATCTATCTATCTATCTATCTATCTATCTATGTCTGCTTTTCTCTTTTTTCTTTCTTTCTTCCTTTTTTTCTTTCTTTCTCAGTCTTCTCCTATCTATCTATCTATCTATCTATTTATCTATCTATCTATCTGTCTCTTTTTTTCTGATTCGAATACGCTTACATTTTTACGAGCAAAGTAAATATGATAGTCCGATATCCATAGAATGTTTCTCAAAACTGACCTTGTACCAATATTAATAAGTCCATATTTAATTCAGGAACGAGTATGTATGCCTGAGTTCATGTGCCAAGTCACACACACACAAACACACGCACGCACGCATACACACACACACACACATATATATATATATATATATATATATATACATATGTATATGGAGTAAATAAATAAAGATAATATTGCCTTCATATAATTTTCTTTGATGTTATATATAAAAACAAATTTACGCAGTTTTATTTGCGCCTTTGTGTGCGCTTGTAATTACTTATCTGCTATAGATAAAATTATATATACTGAATATTGTACGTAAGGGAATTGTCCTGTTTATACGCAGAAATTCAATATCCCGATATATATCTCAATATTTGTGGGTATTTATACGCTATACATAGAAAACTGCTTCTGTATTCATGAATATGGGAGCCACCGTTTCTTTGAGAACACGTGATTATTTTCATGCCATTGTTCACCAAATTCAAGGCCCATGAGCCACCCAAGGTAGGGAGTTACTGAATGCGATTGGGAGGAGAAAGTGATGTATATAATGATGAGGATATGTAAGATAGATAACGACTGACCGTAGACTTGAAGAGGTTAAAAGTGTTGTGTTCAGAGAAGCATCCACTCGGGAGTCTGTAACACAAAGTGACAGTTCTGATGAAGGAGCTAAGTGGAATACGAACGTAATGAGGATTAGTTGACGCTGTCTAGGAGGTATAACGGGTTGTAGTTGTAGCGATCTGAACTAGTGGAACTAAGGCATGTATTTAGTTCTATCGTTTCCCATTCGACAGACGAACGAGAGGCAAGCAACGTTTCCTCTGTGAGGAAGGAGTTGAAGTCATAACTTGTCCACTTGAAAAGGTTAACGCACACAGCATGTGCCCAAATCAATCTATGGTTAGAAAGATATTATTTCAGTTTTTGATTCTGGGATTGATATTCCTTGAATAAGTACCTTAGATAACTCATCTTGGTTAAAAACCTTGTAAAGAATAGATAGGTTTACCTATCGTCCGGTTTACACTGCTCACCGTTTTTGTTTTTTTTTTTTTTTTTTAACAAGAGTAGATGTTTATCTCTTGTTTCTTGTTTAGGATTGGGTTTCCGACTCCTTCTAAAGACTACTTCAACTGTACAGTTCTAACGTCTCCGCCTAAACTGTGAATTTTTTACAGGCAGAAATACCTCTTACATAATAGTAAGTTATTAGCTAGATGAAGACCCCATTGCCACTAATGCCTTACAATTATGAGGGTGGAATTGCTGGAAGTTATATATGAAAGGTATCTCTGCTACTGTACTATATTTATTTATTCATTTTTCAAAATAGGAGTAGATAGATTCACCTATCGTCCGGTTCACACTCCTCCCCGATCTTTTGAACAGTAGATGTTTAGCTCTTGTTTCCTGTTTAGTATTGAGTTGTTCAGTTATTCTACTTCAATCTGTACTATATATATATATATATATATATATATATATATATATATATATATATATATATATATGAGTTGACCCAAGCCTTGTGAGTGAAATTGGGTAGACGGAACCCTTGGGTGCCGTCGATAGCTGTGCTAGCACACAGTCACAAGTCATCGTGGGCGAGGGATTGAGTGTGCTGGCGTTGTTCAAACTGTTTATCACGCTAGATAACAGGCTCTTTCCCAGAAACTGTAACTCAGGTCTGCTCAGCATTGTTGCAGTATAAACCACAGATGGGCTCTGTGGGTGTTGAACAAACACAAATGCACTTGAGCAAGCGTTTGGAATAGGGATTGGCTCGCCACCCTAGTAGACGGGTATCCCTGAATACTATTGGCCGATATATATATATATATATATATATATATATATATATATATATATATATATAAATTTTTATTAATATATATCAATTTTTAAAACTGTATATATATATATATATATATATATATATATATATATATATATATATATTACAGTTTTAAAATTGTTGTCAAAATCTATTTGGATCCTGTACACCGAAGTTATGAATTATATACATGGTGTGCAAAAGATGTACTCACTCTTTAAATGACAATAAATGTAATGTTTAATGTTTATTGCCTTGCAAACAAAATTAATGGTTAAAGAAATATTAATGATTAGCTGTTTAAATTAAATATTAAATTATATATATTTATATATATATATATATATATATATATATATATGTGTGTGTGTGTGTGTGTGTGTGTGTGTGTGTGTGTGTGTGTGTGTTATCAATTCACCCGAAGTAAGGCAATAAAGCCACTGAGACGCAAGGGATTACTGATTGTGTGATCCATTTTAGCTCTTGTTGAAATCCTTCATGTGATATAGTTTCTGCTATCTAGTACAATCTGTGATTGTGTAGCGCCAGTCCACAAGGTTCTTAGATCTGTATGGATTGGCGCTGGATGGGATCAAGTAGAACATTCTCTTTGATTATAATATTGGATCCAATGATAAAATATCTGATTCTTTTCCAAGCAATGATGATAAAAATGAGGATTTTGTAGAATGTTTTGAGCTATTTTATGTTTAGAGCAATATATACTAATTTCTTGATCAATAAAAATCTGAAATTGAAATTTATTTTAATCATCAACCATTGCTCTAAGATGAGTTTATCTGTGGTGATCCATGTATGTATTAATATCACCCTAAGAGATCGCAAAAAAAAAGCTTTCCACTCGGTGTCACACAAGAAGGTCAAAAGACTCAAATGCATCAGAAGGTTCACGTATATGGTTTGTATAATATTTGTTTTTTTTAGGGGGGGGTTGTTTTTTTAGTCTGAACACTACAATCTTACCCTCTTCAAGTCAATCTTTATCTATCCTATATACAGTCACTTTCTCACAGACGCGCCGTCGCCTCCCTCTGTCTGTTCTACAAATACTTTCATGGAAATTGCTCCGAGGAGCTGCATTCGCTGGTTCCCAGACGTCATGAGTTCCAGCGCCTTACGAGGCTGCCATCCCGCTCTCACCCCTTCACTGTCGAAACTCCTAAATGTAGCCGTCTCTTCTACTCTAATAATAGCTTCATGTCTCGCACCTCTCGCCCGTGGAACTCCCTTCCCTTCTCCTGTTTCCCCTGTGAGCTATAATCTCCAGCTATTCAAGTGTAATGTCAATCGACATCTCCAGTTGCCTTGATCTATCCACTACCCTCATCCTTTCTTCTATCCTCCTATCTGATCTTGCTCTAAATTTTTCTGTAACCCCCTTGCGTCCTAGTGGCTTCCCCGCCTTGTTTGGGGTGAAATGCTTTAAAAAAATATATATATACTCATGATCCTCACTTTATATAGATATACATCACACTCCTTATTCATTAACCTACCTCTACCTTGAGTGGCTATCGAACTTTATATTGGGTGAAGATTAGTTTTTTAAAAGTGTTTATTATGAAATATCAATCCCATACGAAACGATTAAATTTTCAATCCCTTAAATGCAAAATTTTAACGATTCTTGTATTAAGTAAAATTAATATTTACGCTTTAGAATATAAACTGGTTAGCAATCTAGCCTCGTAGTAGAACTGCAAAGAGTTTCATTTTTACAGGCTACTGAACATTTCTAATTAATTTTAATAAATACTTACGGATATACGAGTAGCGAATTATCGGCGATAAGGGTGTAACTGGCGAGCCGAGTTCAATTTCCACCCGAGCCTATTGCATTCACTTTCACGCTAATGCCCTTGGGAAAGAAGTGAATCCATCTTTTCTACGCCAACCCCCAGCTATGGATTAAACAGTAAAGTTCACTGAGTTCCCTAGCCTTGGATGGCAACCAGTTTATGTGAAGGTATGCTCGGAATTCAAAACCATGGAAAAAACAACTCTAAACCACTTCACTATCTTTCTCAAAAAGTCACAGTAATTTACAGATAAAAAGAGAAAGGAATCTGTGGAGAGCCACGATCGCTTATGTCCCGAAGTGACATAGTATTAAAAATATTTATGATTTAATATCAAAAGTCTTTTATTCAGAAACAAATTCGAATATTTGCGCTGTTAAACAGATATCTACAAAATATAGCATAACCGTGTGCAAGGTTATAGTATTAAGAGCGTTTTGTATGTCACTTCTTCTATGTGATGTATCCTTTCATAACGTGGACAATCATGGTTCTCCACAACTTCCTATCCTTTCAAAGTCCTCAGCAACTTTTGTCCCTTCGCCAAATTTCCTACTCCTGTTCCGCTATCCATTCACAAAGACCTTTGAGTGTCCAATTTTTCAAGCTCTCTTTTTTCATCATGTGTCCAGGAAATTTCAGCGCGCGCGCTCTCTCTCTCTCTCTCTCTCTCTCTCTCTCTCTCTCTCTCTCTCTCTCTCTGATTCTGAATATAAGTGTACTTTTTGTTTCATTTTTCCTTAAGACTTCTTCGCTGCTTACGCACTCCGTCCATGGAATTCTCAGCATCCTTCTGTAGAACCACATTTAAGACAAGCGAATTAGTCTTCGTGACAAGCATACAGGCTAGGATGTTACGAATTCGAGTTCACAATTAGAAATCAATCCAATAAAGCCGCTAATTTCTCAACCCTTGACTGCAAAGTAAGACCGTCACGTCTTGATCGGAGGAGATTCTCATAGCACCAGGATGAACAGAACTGCTATCTTGTTCTTCTACGTACAAGGAGGGTTACTTGCTAATGCCCATCTCCTTTCCGAAGTTAAGCAACGTCGAGCTTGGTCAGTACCTAGATGGATGAACGCTTGAGAATAACACGTGTTGTAAGCTTGGATGGCTCGGAATTGTAAATCGGAGTGCCGTGTTCCAATTCCAGTTGGGTTCGTTATATTCACTTACGCACACATGGTATGAAACCACCTCTTCTTCACCCAGCTATGGGTTAAATAGTAAGACTTGCATCACTACAAGCCTTATTATCTTAAAAAAACATTGCGTTCAAAATATTTAGGTTTCGGCATTAAATAACCCATAAAGGTGTTGATATGCCGCTAAACAAAAACAACTAATACCGCAATAGTTTCCACGTGTTATGTAGGGCTGGATTTTAAGGGAAGAATCCCCAATATGACACTTGTCAATGTTAAACTAATGACCGAAAGATGGGGTAACGACGGGTTTAGTTTATACTTTTCTATATAAACAATTTCAACTAAAATTTGAAATTATGTTGGTTATTAGGTTTCTCGTTTCGGTAAACAATCTGCATTTCTTTAACAATACCTTCTGGACATTGGCAATCATAGATTTCCATTGATTCTTTTAATATTATTATTAGGGAATTGCCATTACGTCTTGGGAAAGATAGTGGAGTAGTTTTCCATTGCCTTCTACACGCTTTTCAATTCATAGTCTTTCTCTCTTCAGGACATATACAAATCATGGCTCTCCACAGATTCAATTTATTTATTATCTGTGAATTGGCATTACTTCTTGGGAAAGGTAAAGGTGTTTCCAGTTTTATGTTGCCTTCTCTGTGGTTTTCAATTAAGAGTATTTCAGTCTACCATGCTATTTAACACAGTCGCCAGTGTGTGTGTGGTGGGGGGGAGGAGATATAAATGCATGTCTTTGGCAAAGGCAACAGGGTAGAGTGGTATTTGAACCTGACTCGCCAATTCATCTTTCTGCTGATAACCATTACGCTACCAGCATGTTCATTTTATTTCCTCTTTAGACAATCTTTACAGTATTAACCTCTTTTCGAAAGTAACTCATATTTTGATCCAAAAATAAATCGTTCGTGCCACGGTGTACCATCAATGATAATTGTACTTTTATCCTTTCCCCACTTCTCTCTCTCTCTCTCTCTCACTCACTCTTTCTCTTTCCTCTCTCCCTCTCTATCTTTATATATATATATATATATATATATATATATATAAATATATATATATATATATATATATATATATATATATATATTTATATATTTATGAATAAAAAATGACAATAGGAAAATCTAGTAAATGCTGACGCGTTTCGTCCAATGCGGACTTTATCAAAGCAAAATACGAAATGAATATAATATTACAAGGTAACTAATAAAACAAAAACAGAATTCATTTCGTATTTTGTAATAAAATTTGAAGTTTTTAGTTTCTGTTTTTGAAACATGGTAATTCCTGTGTAGCGATGGAACCATATTTTTAAATTAGTAAATTTATTACTATATATATATATATATATATATATATATATATATGATTTTTTTTATATTCCCCGCACATATTGCTATATACGTCTGCTGACACATCAAATTTTTAGTCTTACACTTTGATTCACTCGCAATCATTTATTTGCCGTTCGCAAATGCACCTAATTAACAGACTAGCAGAAGATAGATAACTTTCTTAGATCATCTTCAGTACCAGCAACTATTTCGAGTCTACTTTTGGACAAATGCCTTCCAACTCCTTCCGTAACGACCATGTCTATGCATCTATTTGCTACTGTTTACAGAAGAATCTCTCTATCTCATCTGCCCATCTTTCTTTCTTTATTTCGTTTTTTTTACATCCTTTGCTATCTATGGAGCACTTAACCAACCTTTTGCTCCATCTGGTATCCTTTCTTCTTACTATGTCTACCGACCACTTTCATTTATGCTATCTTTTATGTGCTTCGTTTCCCTCTCTTATTGTTAGCCTGGGCATTGATCATGTGCCTTTCTAAGTTTGTTTTTTTAGCCTTCTTGTTTCACACACGTAGATTATTGTTAACATTATACATTCATTAAGCGTTTCAAATTATATCTTTGCTTTTATTCAATGTTTTTCAACCAATCGTTATGCATTGTTTTTTGTTTTTTTTTTTTCATTTTTACGGTCTTTCTTTAGACTTCGTCTCGACACTGGAAATCCGTTTCTCAAAGTGCGTCACTTCGCAGTCCGAGGCGAAGTGGCCGGCCAATTAAGATAGTAGTACAGTGTAACCTGGATGTAAGAGACCCGGATAGAAGAGAAACCCGGGTATAAGAGAGATTTTCTCTGGTCCCAAATTAGAGCCTGTGTTAATGTAAACAAAATAGACCAAACCCGGATATAAGAGAAATCCGGATATAAGAGACTTCTTCTCCGGTCCCGACAACTCTCTTATATCCGGATTACACTGTACCACATTTGTACAGGAAAACTCCCAGAATAATTCTGTAACCTGCCGCAAGGGAAAATCCGATCAGAATATACACAGAATTAAATGAAATTTCTGGCCTTTGGTAAAATTTCAGTTAAATATTTTACCTCGAGATTTGTTATTGTCCCAAAGAAATATCTTTTTATACTGCATGAAGTACGCCCAAAAATCATATGAATAAAATCCGGCAAATTAGATGTATATACGAGGGTTAATCAGAAAGTAAACGCAATCTTAAAATTATGCGGTAAAAACAACAGGCGGTAGCTGACGCGTGCGCATGAGGCGACGTATAGCTAGCTGCGCGCAGCATACATCGTTCAGTCAAGTGACAAGGAGCAATGAGGTCAGACGTATAGACGCTCCGCTCAGCGATTGCACCAACGTGGAACAACGCGCTTTCTGTGGGTGGAGGGAGTCAAACGGATGTTAGCGTCGTATAGCGCATGCAGTATGAAACAGTGAAATTTATATGAGCGGATAGAACGTTTTAAAGAGCGCGAGGAAGACGTGTAACGGAAGAAAGCCAATCTCGTCCATCAGCATCGTGTACGGAAGAAAGCATCTAGAGTGTGGATGCCTTTATCTGGGAAGACCGACAAATCACGGTAGCATAAGTGGCGACAATCGTGGCCATCAGTTATGGATCTGTACAAACCACAGTGCATGTTGACTTGGGATACCGTAAACTTTGTGCGCGTTGTGTACAGAAACAAGTAAACGGGGCAGATGTGGCCACGAGAGCAACTGAAAAGCTTGATTTTTGGAAGGGATGAAGATCGTTGAACGATATGAGAAGTACTTGTTGGCGAAAAGTGATATGAAATTTGTTCTTCACCAGCGTAAATAAAGGTGTTGAATAGAAACTCTCTTTACTTTTATATTTAGTCTCGTATTTATGCGTGGCAAATCTTTGCCATGTCTTCTGCCTTAATTAGCGTCTCAGAGAGAATAGCATACAATACATATCAGCGTCAACAGGGCGAATGTACCATTGGACTCTGTCAAGGTTAACAATGGAGGTAAACAGTTAGGTAAGAGTGGCTTTCTTAAAATTGTTCACTGATTCACTTTTATTCTCCATCACAAGCTGTGGTATACCAGTGATAAGACATTTTAAAATACATATGACAGTAGAATAGCACCCATGGACAAGTTAATTTTAGCTTTTACCGGTGGTACTAGATAAAATGGACATAAACGGCTTCAACCAAAAATCGAAAGTTGTTCGTTGACTCCATTTTCCGAGCCAGTAACCGTTGCCGCAGAGTATACCGTCATATATAAAGCAACACAACAATGGAAATAATTTTTTTCTAAGTAGATGAACGGGTTTGAGTGAATATTATTTAAAAAGGTTAGCCAATAGAAAGTATATTAAAATTAAAATTTAAATTTAGATTAAATTTAATAAATATAAATTAAATTTAATTAAAATTTAAGAATCAATAGGATGTCGACAGGAATCTGTACACCTGAATTTGAAGTTTGTTACAATTTATTTTTTTACAGTAATTTGGACCCTGTACAAGAACCTTGAGCCACTCGAGGTAGAGGGTTAAATTAAGAAAGAACAGTAAGATATATAATCCGGTGTACTTACAGATATTTTTATTTTTACAAAATAGTGCTCAATGTAAATTTACAGAGCATTAATATTATAAATTAATTGATTTAAAATGTTTTTTCGCTACACAGTTCTAACCATGTTTCAAAAATGGAAGCTGAAAGCTTCAAATTTCGCTTGAGGATGAAATGGAACTAATATCTTTAATTTAATTACAAAATTAAATTCGAAACTTTCAGCTTCCATTTTTTGAAACATGGTTAGAACTGTGTAGCGAAAAAAACATATTTTAAATCATTTAATTTATAATATATATATATATATATATATATATATATATATATATATATATATATATATATATATATATACGTCATATAATTTTGTATAATTTTATATATCAACAAACAGTATTTAGGAAAAATAGTATGACAAGTTGACAATTTTTGTGACGCGTTTTATCTAATGAAATCCTAAAGGAAGAAACGCTTCACAAATTTTTTTTACCAATTTGTCACAGTATTTTTCTAAATATAAATATTGTGCATAGGTGTTGATGCGTGTATGTGTGCGGTTGTTCTGTATGAAAATATGGGTATGTCATTTCTGAAAAAAACATATTATAAATCTTAGTAGAAAATTTGGATTGTGTGTTGTCATTT